CTGTCTTTCTCGGTTTTGTTTTCTCTTTACTTTTTCTCCGCTTTTTTCCATAGTTAACTTCTCTACTTTCTTTTTTTCAGAGAACAGAAGGAAGAAGGTGAAGTGACTGACGACAGCAGTGAAAGCATGTCTGTTATTTACGTCGATGACGATGTCAGCTCAGCTGAAGCAAGTTAGTGCTTCTTCTATCTTTTTGGGCCACAATTTTATTCACTGCGATCGTTGATGTATATCGACGGGAGTGGGGGGGGGGCTGGGTTGTATCGAGGTTTCAGCCTGTTCTTCACCGATTCTTGAAGAACACAAGCGGCAACAGCCGGAGGAGAACCACCGTCAAACCCAGCTCCCTCTGATGCGCCCCACCAACCGCAGTGAACAGGGCTGTACGTGGTCGCATTAGCTTATTCAGAGCGATGCCATAAAGTAGACAGCTGCATCGTTCTTAAGTTTCAAGCAAATCGTGAACTATGAGTTCACATCTCTTTTCCCTACCAGAGGCGAACTGGACTCTGTTTTGTTTTTCCTTTGATTGTGTTTCTTCCTGGTAAGCCTGCGTTCATATTTGCGTCAGCGGTTTGGCGCACGCCAGAGTTTTCAGCGACTGCCGCCGAAAAGCTCAAGCTGTCCGCGAGACGCTTAAAGGCAGTTGGCACGACAATTTGGTACTCAGCCTAAAATGCTAGCAGGGCGCTATCTAGTGGGAAAATGGCGAAAAAACGAAGTGAAACGGTCGAAAACTGCGAAGAAAAGCCTTCGTTCTTGGAAAGCAATTTCGGACGAGTTTCCCGTAGGCGTATTGCAAATAACCGCTCCGGATAGGTACGGCTGCATGTATGTACTCATACTCTCCTCATCATTACGGACTGTCGGGGCGGGTCAGTGCGGCTGCGTTTGGCGCGGTCGTCCGCGCCCGTTCTGCACCAATCGTTGAACCAGGAAGTGACATTACTGTATTATATCCTTCGTATTACTCGTTTTCTATCACTTTTTGTCGCATACGCGTTTCAACGAAAAGGCTGAGA